CCACTAACCTCCCCCTTTTCCTCCTCCAGTTTTGCTCCCTGTTTTTTGGTTCCATGACGACTCCAGGGAGGCCCAATGCAACCCCCACCCAAGAAGTTCTGGCAGAGGACAGTGATGGAGAATGCTGACCCACCTCAGCATCCAACCAGCAGGACAAGCACCCACCAATGACCCATTAACAAGTTTATTCCCAAAAAAATTCCTCCTGCCCCCCATCCCCTCCACTGTCCCCCCAGGGCTGAGCTCTGGGATCACCCCTCGCCCCAGCACTCCCTGCCTTGAGCCTGGAGCGTGGCAGGGAGGGGGCAGGATCCTACAAATAAAAAAACTGAGTCGAAAGAAAAGCGACCTGATGCTGTTGGGGGGGGCTGAGGGAGGTCTGGGGGGGTGGCTCACGGCTCATTTCTTGGCTTTGGCAGAGTTGCGAGGAGGGGTGACGGGACGGCCGGTGGCGTTCAGCCCGCTGAACTGCCCGTACTTGCCCTTGTTCTTGTCAGCTGGCTTCAGAATCTGGGGGCAAGGGGGAGAGGGGTGAATGGGAGCAGAAAGGGGTGAGGACGGTGAGAAAGGGGTGATTGGGGGGAAATGGGGTGAGAAAGGGGGAAAAATGGGTGAGGAAAACAGGGAAGGGGAAAAAGGGTGAGGATAGGGGAGAAAAGGGGGAGAAGGGGGGGAATAGGGTGAGAGGGAGAGAAGTAAGTGAAGGAGAGGCCACACACTGTCCCCAGCTCCCCACCCTGCTCTGCTACCTCAAAAGCACCCTCCACTCTGCTCCCAGCCCGCCCAGCAGGGCCTGGGTGGCTCTCACAGCCTCCCCTGCCCCTGGCAGTGCCCCCAGCCCACCTGGAAGGAGCACATGAGTGTTTCATCCACGCTCATCATGGCTCCTGCGTTGTCGAACTCGCCACAGTAGTTGGGGGCCGAGAAGAGGGTGACAAGCTGGCGCTTAGCGAAGAACTCGTAGCCATCCTCCACCACCTGTGTGGGCATCAAGGCTGGCACTGAGCCCTGGGGCAAATACCCATCCCCCAGGGCAATATCCACCCCCCTGCGACCAATATCCAACCTCAGGGGCAAATAACCACCTCTGGGATAAATATGCACTGCCAGGGCAAATATCCACTCTCTGGGGGGAATATCCACCTCCAAGAGTGAATATCCAGTCCTCCAGGGCGAAGACTTCCCCCTGGGGTGAACACTTTGCCTGGGGCAAATATCCTCCTCCAGAGTGAATATCCAACACCCTGGGTGGAATAGCGACTCCCCAGAGCAAATATTTTCCCCTTAGGGCAAATACCCGACTTGGGAAAATACCCACCCCTTGGGCAAATATGGACTCCCCTGGGGCAAATACCCTCCCAGGACCAATACCCACACCCCTGGTAAATTTCTCCCCCCAAGACTAATAGCCACCTTCAGGCAAATGCTTATAACCCTGAGGGTGCATCCACTCTCTGGGGGACAAATAGCCAAATCCTGGGGTAAACACCCACCCCCTGGGTCATATACCCCCCCAAGTTCAGCTCACACTCCCCAACAACCGCCCCAACATCAAATACCCCTCTGGGAGGGGGGAAGAACCCCCCAAGACCCTCATCTTTACACTCCTAGAGTACACATCACCCTTGAGGGACCAATAGGGTAAAAACTCCTCTGACATTCATCGAGGCCCCCAAATACCCCTTCCTGTGGTGTGTTCCCCCAGAATGGGTGCTTGGTGGTACCTGGTGTGCCCTACAGATGAGGTCCAAGTCATGTTTGTGCAGGAATTTGGCCACCACCTCTGCTCCAAAGGTGAAGGAGACCCCACGGTCATTCTCCCCCCAGCCCTGCACATCCTTGTCAGGGTCAGACCAGAGCAGGTCACAGAGGAGCCCCTGATCCGGCACATCCGTGGGCCGCATGATCCTCCGGATCTGCTCCATCGACTGCAGGTCTGGGGACAGCCCTGTGGGGATGGGACACGCCCAAAGCTCAGCACACAGCTCCCAACACCACCCCCCAAATCCTTGGGAAAGGGCCATTCCCACCTCCGTGGCAGCAGAAGATCTTCTCATCCACGATGGCAGCGATGGGCAAACAGTTGAAGCAGTCGGTGAAGGTCTTCCAGAGTTTGATGTTGTATCGCCGCTTGCCTGAGGGGAGAGGGGGGCAGAGGTGGTTTTGGGATACAGGGGAGTGGGGGGAGCCCCACCAGGGGTTTGTGCCCCCTCAGGTGATGCACAAGCTCAGAGGTCCACTGGAGTTGGAAGAGCTCTGGCTACGCAGGGACAATGGGGATTAGGGGATATGTTGGGGGAACAGTGAGGTCTTGGGGGTGTTCTTGTGGGACAATGAAGATTTGGGGCTGTCTTGGGGGGCACAGGGGTACAGGAGGGTGGGAGGGGACTCCTCATGATTCTGTGCCCACCAAAGCGATGCATAAGCAGCTGCTCGGGGGTCCATTAGACCTGGAAGAGCTTTGGCTGCACAGCGACAACGGGGACTTGGAGGTGTGTTGGGGGACAATAAGGACTTGGGATGTCCCTGGGGAGGATAGAGAGGTGGGGGACCCCCCACAGGGGTTTGTGTCCAC